ATCAAGTCACGCACGTACGTGCGCGGCCACGAGCGCTGAGCTTCTCGCGCGCGTGCTCGAAAGCGAGTCGGCTGAGGGCGGGCAGCAGCAGCAGCAGCAGCAGCAGAGAAGTAAGCTCGGTTGGAGGCGCGGGCCAAGGCACAAGCCGTCGCCAATTTTGATTTCAAGGGTGCATGCTTGCAAGTGAGTGATGCATGCATGGGAGGTGCGATCAGCATGAGCAAACAAGACCCAACAGCAGTTCAGCAGTCACGACTCGACTGCCGAGTTCAACAACGCCTGAACCACCATGCATGCAGTCTCGAGTTGCTGCTGTAGTCAGTCAACCAGCAGGCGGTCGGTCAGACCTGTTCTATAGCCGCACCTAGCTACAGTATAACCAACCGTTCACAGCTCCCCCCAGCAGACCTGAGTCGGTCAAGTTACGCGCTAGCACGCATCTCTTCTCGTCGCTTACCCTGCCAGCCGGTGCGCTGCGCTCGCACAGGTCACCACTCTTCTCGAACGTCGCCAACAAGTCAGCAGCGCGCTCGAGGGTCCCTCTTCATCCTTGCCCGTATCCCTCTTCACCTACGGCGCACGCCTTTCCTCAGCGCTTCATAGGAGCCTTCCTGCCGACCACCGCAGCGCTGTTTGCACGAGAGCTTTCCGGATCCACGCAAGCTTGTGCTCGGTTAGCCGAGCGATGGTCGATCTGAATCCGCTGCCTACGCCTGAAGCACCAGACAAAGGCAGAGCCGCATCTCAGGCGCAGACCCTTTCCGCAACCACTCCTTCTCAGCAGTTTAGGCCAGCTCAAGACGTACACGACACTCACCAGCCTGCTCCTATCATTGCGGCTCCAGCCTCCCGTATAGCTGCGCGTGAACCCGTCCTCTCTGCCTTGCCTGTGCTCGACGCAGGGAAGGTGCTCCCAGTTTTGACTGGTGGTCAGAACGGCATCAACACGACACTTGGCGAAAGTTCATCGAACTCTCTCGCGGGTGCCGACGTAAGGATCTCCAGCGCGTCAGACAAGGCTGCTGACAGAATGGGTGACTCTTCCAGACGGGGCATCAGCGGTTCCATTCCAGGCAGCCAAGAGGCGATGGACGCGTACGACGGCTACACGAGCTTCCTCAGCAGCAGCGCATCTACGGACGCACCTCACGCTGCCGCTGCTCTTGGATCGAGCACAGCCAACGCAGATCCGCTCGCGACCAAACCCTTGGTCAGCGTGCCTGAAGACGAGCAAATGTCGGGCACAGAGTTCCGCTTGGACGAGCCAGGATCGAGTGCACAAAGGGTCGACAGCAATGGAACGCGGTCTAGTGTTGCATCAAGTGCCTCTCGGTCGCAGAACAGCGAGCCTCAGAACGATGTATTTGGTGGAACGAGTGCGAGCTCAGGAGGCGAGTTGAGCTCGCAAAGGCGTTCAGCGAAATCTTCACGCGACGAGGGTCCTTCCAGCCCATCAGCGCAAGGGGGAGATGTGGGTAAACCGCTACCAGGTCTTCCGGCTAATCGACCCGCCTCTGACCTGCGTCTAAACGGCGCCTGGCCGCCTCCGTCATCGGGGATCGGAGCCGAGCAAGCGCTGGCCCCTGCTCGACCTGATGTATCCGCGCTACCACCTCAGCACGTCCCCCGACCGGTCTCGTACTCGTCAGATTCCACCGCTAGGTCCGGCGATCTTCCTGTGGCGGCAAATTCCGCTTTCGGGACGCCTTCCATCACACGGCGATCTAGCAACAGCCCTTCCATTGTGGTGCCAGCACAGGTCAACGGAGAGTCACCCCTCTCACCACCTGACGCGGATCCTGCTCGCTCATTAGCGGAAAGCAACAGAAGCTCCATAGATGATATCAGGCGAATGCATGCTGCGCGAGCGGCAGCGCGCGGTAACGAGTATGCTGCGCACACGCCCGAGGCGAGGCAGCCTCGAAGGGTCCCTGGATCCGAGCCCGGCCGTCCCACGAGCGTCGTGGAGCCCAGAAATACTGACAGCGCTACCTCAAGCCGAAGCACCAGCCGCAATGCGCCTAGGGCGCGGAGCAGTGATGGTCATGAGTCCGGAGCCAGAGAAAGTCATCATTCAAGAGACTCTGCGCGGACACCCCCAAGGTCGGCTGGAAGCGGCACGGCGACATCTCGGGCGGAGGAGCCAAGGGATTGGAATCATGCTGAGCGAACAGAACGCTCTTCCCAAGGTACGCCCACAAGCGCAGTTGCTTCTTCTTCTGACCGCGATAGAGAGCGTCGGAGTCGACGAACACTTGGCGATTACGCATTAGGAAAGACATTGGGCGCAGGCAGCATGGGCAAGGTGAAACTGGGGGTGAAGATGACGAATGGCGAAAAGGTGGCCATCAA